GGGGGGGGGGGGGGGGGAGAAAAAGAAAGAGATGTATCACAAAGTACTGGACATGTCAGGCACGACAGGCATACACAGATAAAGATGAACCTTGAACTTGACTACGGTTGCCTACCGGCACACAGATATGTATTGTGGCCTATTCACACTACAAGGCTATTACAGATGTTCCTTCCCACGAGTTATGGCCAGATTCACTTAAAAAATTTGCACATGCACATGGGAGTAACGCAAACAGGAGATCTCCCAGCACAGGTTTCGTATCGTCAGGCATTCTCAGGGTAGAAAAAGAATGGTGCATAGACATGTATTGCAGCACATTCACATCACCGTATGTAGACTCTGTACCCGAACAGAATGCCCGGATTATCGCTGTATCTAGACTGAAAATTGCATCAAATACAGCTATAACGACCGGGCGTTCTATTTGGATGCAGACCGTAGGACTATTGCGGATGTATTTAAAACTAGCAACTAGGGCATACTTGCACTGAAAAAACAAAAGACGGCATACGCGCACTACCGACTTCCCCCGAACATAACGCACCCTGAATATGAGCGTATACAAGGTATGTTTCCGGCCCGGTACAGTCAAAATGAGGTTGCGTTGTGTTCGGGGGAAGACGGTAGGACTTCGTTTCGCCGAGCTGGACGTGATTGGAATCGCATACATCCCCCTCAGGCCGCAATCGATGTCAGATACATTTAGGATAGTGCTACTGTCTTTGCCTGAATAGAACACCCAACAATTCTAGCTGTATTTGAGCTAGATGCAGCCAAAATGTCCAGCTGATCTATTCGAGTGAAGACGGTTGTGTGAGTTTGGCTTTCGCTATATATTACAGCACATTCACACTAGGGTTATCGCGGATGTCTCTAGCCATAATTACGGTCAGATTCGCACTGGAGAGATACAGTATGAAAGCACAGACTTTCCCACTCCATCAATTCCGTTAGCAACCACTTGAAACAAACAGCACATACATAAACGGTGTCGACAGGGAAAAAAATGGGAAAAAAAAAAAAAGAGGGGGGG